TCCCATTAATCTATAGGCCAAGAGATGGACACAAACAAAATTACCTTGTTCCGATTTCTGGCTTATCTGAAAAAAAGAAGTTAGTAAAAAATGATATAATATACTTATCCTTAGATATGCTCCCTGACGAATTCTTAAAAGATATGTTGGCAGATAAAAAGGTCATAGATTGGGAACTTGGATATGCTATGATTATTCACACTAGTTAAGAAATGAGTCTCAAGGCTCCACAGCATGTTTGGGTCATTGATGAAAACCTAGCTTGGGATAACATAATATATTTAGCAGTTGGTCATGTGGAATATTTAAGCCAACTCATTCAGATCAAAGCATCTCCATTATCTCCTGAAATTGCCTAAGAGATTGAGGAGGCAAAAAAGAAAAGACGGCTAGAGCATGAATTGAGACCATCTATTCAGGAAAAACTTATCGGATATATGGGCTAGGACAAGGAAAAAGACCATGAATTTGATCTAACAGTTGACTATATCCTCATGTTAAAACATATTCAAGAAGACAAATGCGCATTATGTCTTATTGAAATGAAATTTGAATGAGATCGGCCAGGAGATATATCCCAGTGGACAGTAGATCGAATTCATAATAATTTAGGGCATATCAAAGGGAATGTATGCCTTACTTGTCTTCTTTGCAACTGAAATCACAGAGTTTAGTTCATGCCAGTGATCCAGATTAGTGATATGATGCATATATGCAATTCAGAAGAAGCAAATTACAGTACGTACATAATTATAAGATTTTTTTTCTAATATAATAAATATTCAGTTATCTGTAAAAGATGCTAATCAGATTAATTGAATTATATAAACCCTTCTGATGGTGAACATAGTTCACATGAGAAATATAGCTAAAAAATCTAGAAATAATAGATGCAAGACCGCAGGTAAGTTTACTACTAACCCCACGCAATATTTGCCACTATGCAACCCAGCCAAGTATGATCACACATATGATAAGGCAACCGACTTTATCACTGTCAAAAATATAAAACAAGACAGGGTTGTAGGCGTGTTTGATTATTCTGAGCTATGTGAATATTTGGAGTCAGGTGATCATTATTAATAATATTATTTCGATTAAAGATATAGGCTCATATAGCAAAGTATGGGATTTAATAGCAAATTACACAATATGGAAAGTTTAGATGATATTATAGAAGATGCGAATAAAAATATTAAAAAGGTGTTTCTAATAGGGGTTGCACCTAAATTTCGACAAGAAGCCTATATAATTGGTTTTAAATTGATATTGGATAGATTGACACGAGAGCTAGAGTTTGGGCAAAAAGATGATAAGCCAGCCAGTCCGGAGCAGTGATAACCAGCTCGGAAGAATTTGCTGAGCCACAATTGTGTGATAGAAAATAGGCTGATCACACGGTCAGTCTGTGAAACATTATTTTTTCGCATATATCGAAAGTTATGTATGCTAACTAGTACCTCTATTTTTTCCCCAAACAAATGTGAGAAAGTATGAAAAAGCGTCTAGTTGCAACACAGGACCTACCATTAAAGTAAATAATGCCAACAAAAGCATATGTTATGAAAGGCTGAGGGACTCACAATTTCGAGATCATCAGGCGTAAAACTAACTATATGTCTTGCAGGTAAATCCCCATGTGAAAAGGTTTGAAAATTCTGTTTGCATGCGCTTTTATAGAACTCTTGATACCAGACGACAATACTAATTACGTCTCATACCTCCTTAACTTCAGCCTGGCGTTCTTTTTCTCAGCAAGATATAAAGCATGTAGGGTATGTGGAAGTTCAGCCAACTTTCCGCCAAAAACTTTTCCAAAGAAAATAACACAAATAAGGTATGTATATGCCAGATGTTATGAATGTATAGGAACGGGTTTTTCTCACTATGGGCTCTTGTATTTAGGAAAGCAAGATGACCGATATTACTCTCAATTGTCTTCTTTTACCTCACGAGATAGGTGATAGATCAAATCTATCAGAAGGAAGTATTACTATACTTAAAATCTCTACCGGCGAAACAGTTGATCAGTTAAGAATTATGATTAGAGAAAGGTGACCATCCTTATTTGAAAAGATTCCTCCTGCCGAGTTTTTACTCTGAAAGGTCAATGACACCGGGGAAGATACATTAATTGAAAATCAAATTGAAGAATATGTTCGTGGGAAACGTCAAAATGAAACAGAAATGCCTCCATATGAGCTGATTTTTAACTATTTTCCTAACGATCCCCTAATGATAGAATTAATATTTATGTATTTATTTAAAACATCATGTAATAGTGATAGGCCTGAGCCACGAAGTATAGTCATGCATAGCGCCTTTGGTCAATTTTTATGTATTGTAAGCCGGCTTGATCCCTCTAGGACCTTACCGGCAACGTTTTTATTTCATAAATAAAGTATTATTATTGTACTGTACATGAGAAATGGGTCACGTGTAATGAAATATCAGGACTATTAATCTATCCGAATCAGTCTTGCCTATATAAAAAACGTCAGGTGATAAGTGAGAAGAGTCTTCACAGTTGGTGAGGCGCAGTGATTAGGCTGTCGTTCCACCTATGATGCAATGTGGCTGATCATACGGCAGGCTTGTGAAACAGAATAATTTCTCATATATAGTCTGCCTCAGTATTTTTTTCTCTTTTAACTCTTGTCCTCACATACCGCACTTTGAGCCAATAATATTTTACAAAAAACACTATAAAAAGCTGAAAACATTTTATTCTGCCTTATTAAAGAAATACAACTGTGAGCGCTTTCAAAGTTGTTGTTGAGAAGGACAAGTTTATTAGCCACCTCAAAAAAGTTATTAAGGAAGAGATAGATGTTCCAGCTAATTTCAAGGCCAAAGACCTGAAACTATGGAAGGTGACGATCCCTAGCGATCAGGACGATCAATTAAGAAATCTAATACTCCAGGACAGTGACGAGCTGTTAGCAATAAGAAAGATTTCGAAGTACTTCCCTGACTCACCTCCCGAGGAATATATCTATGTTATTGTAAAATTGCCCTGTAAGTGTCTGGAGGTCTGGTAAGGTCTGTAATTTTCGTCATATGTCCTCGTAATATTAACACGTATTCATTTCCAGATCTCAGCTTAGAAGAGGCATTGTCATGTATTCTGCTACCCGTAAAATATTCCCCTAAATGTACTACATCGAAGACCACTACAAAGGTTAATGGTGACCCACCGACAAGTGTACTGCTTTGGAAAGACTTTTTTGAGCAAGTGAACAGCTTTCATTTCGATCAACAACCGATATTTGAGAGACCACAATTTAGCCAAGATAGAGTAATGGTTAATGAAGAGGATGTTCGTGACGCCTTGAATTCCAACATTTGTTTGGTGTTGAATAGACTTATGGGACCAGAATATGATTTTTCAAGACGTCCAACTCATACTTCAGGCATACCGGATTTCAACTGCCACTATCTCGTGGAAACATTAATATTGGTAATCGAAGTTAAGAGGAAGCATGTCTTAGAAGATATCAAAGAACAGACTTTTTCTGACTTTTACCAAGCGGATGAAAAGGCAAGAATAGTGATCCAACAAATCTACAATTATATGGGAGAAAACGAACTTAGATATGGTATTCTTACCACTTACGATAATCACTAGTTTCTACGTCGTGAGCATACAGAAACTTTGGATCTCAAAAACCATTCCATTGCAATCCCTTAATCCTCTCTGAGTTCCAGTACCAGCTCATGGGGATAATAATTCACGTGTTCTTCGATCACAGTCAAAAAATCAATCGGTTAATCAACAAACAACTTCCAGTCAACAATCATCTTCTGCCTTTGGCACTTCCAGCAATATCCCCATAGACTAGCAAAAGTTTAGCTTTGCGAACTTTAAGTTTAAGGGCATACTAGGTGAAGGATGAAACGGAAAGACGCTCCTTTGTATATTTCGTGGCGATACGATTGCTTTGAAGAGCGTAGACTTATCGAAGGCCCCATCGTATGTCCTGGAAGAAATGCAAAAAGAAGTTGAGATTTATAAAGACCTAGTCGATATTCAAGGCAAGTATATCCCAAAACTGGTCTGTTATGGATATTATGGGAGGTATGAGTTTCGTTATTGGCATGACCATTGTTGGCACTTCGTTGAGCAAGCAAAAAATAAAGAAACAGCAAAAGACAAGGGCTATTAAGGGACTAGAAGCGATCCACAAGCATGGTATTCTCCACAATGATATTTGGGAGGAAAACATCTTAATTAATGACAACGGCGATATCTACCTGATTGACTTCGGGATGGCAAGCCGGAAGGACATAAAAAGAAGAGAAAGCTTTTTGACGAGGAACACCTCAAATATTCTAACTTGCTAGATAGATATAATATGTAAGAATTTATTATTTTACAAATTCCTGTACTACGATTACTTGTAATCCTAGTTTCTTATAATTAATAATCATGTATTTTACAGACATTTCGTTAAGGAGGGGCGAATTTCCAAGTCACGTAAATGTCAGGTGGTTAGTTAGTCCGTATGATAGACATTAGCATAGACATTTCGTCATGTATCATGGACTACGTCCCGATCTATGTATTTATTTTGCATGTATTAATAAAAATTTTTCTTGGCGAAAGTGATCGGCGTGAACAATTGTTCACGCGCACGTGATTTTTGATCGTGAAGATTCTTCACGGTTACACTACTTATGCGAATGCATGTTTGATAAGCTAATTTAAAGAATCTCGTAGTTAGTAGTATTAGCTGTAGAAATTTACCATAAATATAGGAGCAAAGAAATAATATGACGCACTATAAGGCCTAGGATGGCATTATGTTTTTTAACTTTGTGATTATGTATGCATCGAAAAAAATAAAATTGTATTTATGCTAAATTCAGGCGATATGATGACTTTATTACATAAAAGAAAATTTTAAAAAATTATACAATATTAATCTAATACTTTTGATACTCCAATTCATTAAAGCAATATAAATAAAGCAAATTCCTTCTTATTGTATTATCAGTAATCATTTTTCGCTTGGCCTATCCACTAAACCGCGATGAGCAAATGTTGGAGAAAGATACTTCTCAAGATTTTTCGGATAAATGAGAAGTAGATGAGGCATTGTTTCGATATTAATTTTTCCTGTACATTTCCGGTTTGTGAACAAAACAAGAATCACATCATAGTCGTTCTTATAATTTTCTACTGATTTCATTGTTATATCGTACCAATCTTTAATATTTGGTGTTGACATTTTGGTTGTTACACCGCGTTCTGAGTACTTTATTTGTGAAAAGATCGCTAATTTTTTTTCATTATCGGCAGAATCAAGAATCCAGTGGTGATCAATATTAGCATTCCCTTGGCAACAGCGAAAAATGCCTTCCTCAAGTGAGCGGGTTACATTGTCATCACATAATACTGAATTATCAAAACTTGCAACATCGTCTGTCTCTACAAGAAACTTATCATTCTCAGTAAAGACTTTGAGACTATGCAACCGTACTTTGCGTTGGAGAAGTGTGTCAGCACCTAAAGCACCTCGAAATATATCAGATAGTTTCCAATTATTCCTTTCTTGATGGTCAAGTTCTTCTTTTAGCGAATCGATTTTGCGCGAAATCTTAATTTTTTCATCATAATCCTTTTGTTCTTCCAACTGTAAACGAAGTTTGTGAATTTCATAATTAACAGAATTGATCCTTGACTCTTGAACGTAGATTAAACTATCAATAAGGGCTTTTTGGAAATGTCCGTATAAAAGTTCAAAATTTTGCCACTGCCAAGGGGAATCATATGTTGGGATTAAGAGAAGATTATCTTGAAACACAGGTTCTACATTAGATACCAAGAGCTTGTTGTTGAGAACTTTCAATAGCATAAAGGGCATAACAATAGTATACCATTCATCATTAGTGTTAGAAAGATAGATCAAACCAGATCGCTCAAGTTCACCAATGGATATGCCACTCTTTAGTCGAAATTCTCGCTTGATAAGTTGTCTGGTAAGCCCAAATGAGATCACAGTGCGTATATCATCAAGATCCTTCCAATCACCTGGATTATTTCCAATTTTAGCAGTCTTCCGCTGAAATATTTTAGCAAAAAGTTGATTTCCCCAGTCAAAATATGACGTAAGGATAGGAGGGCTTAAGAGATCGTCGATAAGTTTTGGAATGAAGCCGGTGTCAGACATGGCAATTTGAAAATGCTGTTGATTCAGGACAAATTTACAAAAATCAGCTGAAAGCTTTTCGATATCTTCATTATTAAGATCAGAAGAGTGATGTAATTTGAGGCCTTGTATCACTAGATCTCTTCTTTCATCGGTTGTTTGCATTGAATATTCATACTTGTCAAGAAACATTGATTTTGCTGATTCATAATTCAACGGCTTGAACTCCACCAATTCTCGAGGATACTCCGTAGATAAAAATTGAACGTCAATGGCAGACGTTCCTGTGCAGATTGGAATAATAAAATATTTTCCATAATACTCCTCTTTCATTTTATCATCATACTGTCCACGCATGACACTACCAATCTCTTTTAACATTAATTTAAAGAATTCGCGAGCCATCATCCATGATCGTTGTTGGTACTTTACAATATCATCGATGTATAATTGATACTCATCGAGATGGATAATGATGGCAAGTGGACACTGGTCTTTTTGGTCTTTTTTAATGAGACATTTAAGGATCTCATAAATCACATTAGAAAGGCTGAAAAGCCTAATGTCATCAGTTACTTCGCTCATCAGAGCAGATAGACGACTATGATGTACAAAACCTGATGACAATGCAATACGCGCCCCTATTCGCACACTTGCATCTTGCTTGTCATCAAAGCCTTCAAGATACTGGCATCCATTATTCAGGTCAACAAAGATGTAACAGGGACTTTTCAGAGCTTCCACAAATTTATTGTCATAGGTGTCGGTACTTCCTAGTGTTAGAGCAGAGGACAAATGATTTGATTCCCAGCCCATTCGTGTCTTGCCTATTCCTATTCCTCCGGGAATTAGAGTAAATTTATGAGCTTTGTGGTCAGAATTTTCGCGACCCTCGTAATTAGAACAAGCAACTTCTAACATCAAATGTTGAGCTTGATCACGATCGTAAAACTTGTGGTAATGAATATTTGTAGCATGAGATTGTGGTGTTGGTGAAGTAAGGAAAGAAGCCAAGGCTTTCGCTAAAATGGAAAAGTGAATTTTAAAATAAGAACACGATTACTAATCAACATCATAACAGAATATATTACGTACGTGTTTGTTTCTCCTTTTTTCGGGTTCCGCTTTCTTCATCTGAGTCCGAGTCTTCGTGTCTTCTTTTCCCTAATCAAATAAAAAAATGAGATAACGAGAATTTCTTGTTCGAGAGGTAAACCATTGGGAGACACTCACCAGCGGTGGCGGGCGGTGGGGGGTAGACAATGACGTGGATGTGTTTTGCAGTGGGGTTTGTGCCAAAATGCTCTTCAATAGTATCGAAATCTTCTTTCAACTCCACAGCTCCAAATTTTTGAGCAATGTTAGTATCTGTATTAATTTCCCGCTTCTTCATTACAGGAATATCGACTTTCCATAATGTAATTTGGTTTGCATCAAAAGTTTTAAACACGTTCTCCTTGTAGGCTTTGATGGTATCCCTGAGTTGTGAAATGGTTTTGATCCTATCGGCTTCGATGATAAAAGCCTTATCTTCACCTACAACGAAACAGCCTAACATGATGTCGGTATGTCTGCAAACGCGAAAATCGTGAGTTAAAAACAAGGGTCAAAAAATCAACTTTTCAGTAAAATGTCAAATAAAAACCTTTTTGTATACGATCTTATATTTTCATGTGGGGAGATTTCAGTTTGTACTGATGAACCGTTTGATTGATTCATATTGTATTTATATTAAATCGGCAAAAATCGGTTGATATATGATGATGATGATGGGTGACGAGTGACGAAATGTTCTAGATACTTCGAAAAAATTTTATCAGGAGTTACGTTTTTGTGTGGTATAATGGTTATGATCTATGATCTTGGTGAAACTTAGGTGGGGTTCAGTTCTCGCTGAATCAATTATCTTCGTTAATTACGTAATTACGACAAAACCCTCACTATAAATAGTACTGATCGAAAAAATTTATCAGTGCCAGAAATGTTTGGTGAAGCCCAAAAATATAAATCCTACGTTATGACTGAATTTTCGTGCGCTGATTTGGTAATAACTTATGATGATGGTGAACTTAGGTGGGTTCAGTTCTCGCTGAGCTCGTTTATTACGTAATTACGACAAATTCCTCACTATAAATAATACTGTTCGGAAAAATTTATCAGCGTCAGAAATATAAATTCTGCGTTGTGACTAAATCTTCGTGCGCAGATTTGGTAATAACTTATGATGAATTTGCATAGTTATGTTGGCCGGAATTTAAGAATATTATTATTTAACAATTAATCTAATGAACAAAAAAAAACAATTACAGAGCAATCTGGGGCTATTTATAAAGAATTTGGTGTGGGAGATCTCATGTGATAATTTAGCCGTTACATTG